GCTGAAGATAATAAACAAGTATCACCACCGAGTGATATATACAAAATTAAGGTTAATGAGTTATCAGAAATTCCGACTTACAATAATGTAAAAATTCGTGTTAAAGACGAATACGACACCAAAAGCATTTGTGAGCAAATTGTGTCGTGTCATCCGGTTTTACTAAAAGCAAAACTGGCTGGAAGTGGCAAGAGTTATATAGGCGAATATATGAAAAATCTAGGTTATAATGTGTTGTTCGTATGTCCTAATAACAAGCAGAAGCAAGAAACCGAAGCCGACGCCATAACATTAAACAAATTTTTCAGTATTCCAATAGAAGCTGGAGAAAGACTACCGACATTTGACCATTCTGATTATAATTGTATTGTGTTCGATGAGCTAGGTATGGCGGGCAATTATATTTTGAACAGAGTTAGGGAGTTTAAGGATACATACCCAGAGAAGATAATTATAGGAACTGCTGACGGGAAGCAGTTGAAACCTATAGCTGATTTAACTAACACCCAGGACCACGAGACATATTTAAACAACTGTCTTAATCAAATATTTAAATATAAGATTTATCTTAAGATATCTAAGAGACTTAAGACAGAAGAAGATAAAATTAAATTGAATGATATATATAATGACATTTGGAAAAATAAACTGCCCATTAAGGAAATAGTAAATAAACATTTTGAAACTACAAGCGACATCATGGAAGGAGAGCATAACATAGCCTATACTAATGCTAGGTGCAAATGGGTAAGCAAGACCGTAAGAAATAATTTAGGAAAGACAGATAAATATGAAATTGGAGAGCATGTGATATGCAGAGTTTATAAAAAAGAAATGGGGCAGGTGTTTAATGTAAATATTACTTATGAAATTATTAGCATTGATGATTGGAAAGTAGAAATCCAAGATATCAAAAGTAAAACTATATTCCTGACAAACACCACGACTTTAGACAAGCACTTTATACATGCGTATTGTGCTACATGCCATTCGTCTCAAGGGGCTTCTGTAGATAAAAGCATTACTATACACGAATGGGATAAATCACATTTGGTCAGCCGTGAGTGGATTTGGACAGCCCTCACGAGATGCAGAGATATCAATAAAGTCAAGTTTTTCAAAGCAGACGTAGACGATACTGATTTAAATGAAGCACAAGTAGCCAGATATTTAGAACATAAGATTAAACAATATAAATTACAAGACATGAAGTCTCAAAGGGAGATAAATGAAAATAAATATATAGATGTTGAATGGTTGCTTAACAGAATTGGAACAAGATGTAATAAATGCAGTTCAGATTTTGACATAGAAATAAATAATGGAGTAATAAATAGCAATATGACAGCCCAAAGAATAAACAACGATTATGCCCATCATAAGGAAAACTGTATATCTTACTGTTTAAACTGTAATCGCCGGGAAAAATAATATCTATCTTATTTTATATGGCATCTAAGCAAGATATTATTAATAATGTTTATTATGATAAAGGAGGCTTCGGGTCAAAGAACCGCACTTTACAAGAAGCAAGAAAAAAGGATAACACAATAACTATAAACGATATTAATGAGTTTTTTAGGAAGAATGTAGAGGCAGAATTCATTTGTAGCTCCTAACGCATATTATGAGTTTCAAATTGATTTATTTTTCATTAATGATATCCCTAAACAAAAAATGAAAGTTGGCATGATGTGTATTGACATATTTTCTAAGTATATGGTTGTTGTCCCGCTTATGTCAAAACAGCCAGCGGACATTTTAGCAGGACTGATGGAATGTATTAAAAAAATGGGTGGAAAGCCCAAACTAATTTATATTGACGACGAAGGAGCTTATAATAATCAAAGTGTTATAGATTTCTTGAAGGATGAAAAAATAGAGTTGCACAGAACCAGAGGACACCCAGCATTTGCGGAGAGGGCGATAAGGACGTTTAAAGATAGCTTGTATAAGAGGGTTGAAAACGATGAGAAAAAAGGAAAGGCTATTCAATGGACAGACTACATACACGAGATTATATTAACTTATAACAATGGAATAAAGCACACTTCGCACGGCTTAACACCGTCAGAAGCAAGAAAGCCTAAACATCAATTAGAAGTGAGTTTAAACTTAGGTATGAAAGCCAAAAGAAATAGAGTTTATCCAGATTTAAATGTAGGAAATGAAGTTAAGATATTCAGGAAAAGGAGACCAAACGAAAAGGAGAGAGTAGGAGTATGGACTAAACAAACCTACAAAATAGCAAAGATTGAAAAGAAGTTAGGACAGGAATATTATTATATTGAAAATTATGACAGGGCATTTTTGAGACATGAGTTATTAAAGGTATAAATTTATTTCTTGGAAAAAAGTATTTAAAGAAATAAAAACTATATATATTATAATAGAAATGATGGAAACCGTAATCAATAATTATATCAATAAAAAATGCTATGATTGTTGCCACTTAAAAAAAGAAAACATGGAATTGTATAAATTGAATTTACCTAATGGAATAGTTAATCATATTATCGATTATGCTTTGAGTGAAGAAGATGAATGTGAAATTTGTCAGGAATGGAGAGATAATCAAGAATTAATCAGATGTCATTTAAATCTGAAAAGAAGACATAATAGAAATGTTGAAGACAACATTATAATATTTCTAACTGTGTATCAAAGACCACCTTATAGTTATGTTAGAGCATTTCTCAAAATCAGTAAGAAAAGGTATGAACTGATTGACCACATTTTATGGATGTTGTTACATCGTAGAAGAGAGGGGTCTGATTTAAAAGAAGACATTAAATCATATATTGAAAGCAATAAGTTTAATGTGAAAAATACCGTGAAAACTATTAATATTATTTTTGAACTGATGCATGACAAACGTAAGATATTTACACAATTTAATAATCATCAATTAACTTATTATCCTGAACTTAAATTATAATCATACTATAATAATAACATCTAAAATATTATATGTTATAATTATATTTCAATATTTAATTTTATTTCTTGTAAAAAAGTATTTAAAGAAATAAAAATAATATATATTATAATAGAAATGATGGAAACCGAAATCAATAATTATATCAATAAGAAATGCTACGATTGTTGCCAAAAAGAAAATATGGAATTATATAAATTGAATTTACCTAATGGAATAGTTAATAATATTATTGATTATTCTTTGGACGAAGAAAATATATGTAGAACTTGTAGAAGATGGAGACGATATCAAAATATAATAGAAAATTGTTTGGCGTTTAAAAATATAGATGAAAGAAATGTTGAAGATGAAATATTGATATTTTTAACTGTGTATGAAAGACCACCTTACGATTATGTTAAACAGTTTCTTAAAATCAGTAAGAAAAAGTGTGAAATGATTAATGACATATTATGGATGTTGATTTATTATAGTAAACCCGGCGTTGATGTAAAAAAAGTCATAAAATCATATATTGAAAGTGAAAAATTTAATGTTAAAAATACAGTGAGAGATATTAATATTATTTTTAAAATGATGTATGAAAGAGGTAAGATGTATCAATTAAATTATTATCCTGAACTTAAATTATAATCATAATATAATAATAACATGTAAAATATTATATGTTATAATTATATTTCAATATGTAATTTTATTTCTTGTAAAAAAGTATTTAAAGAAATAAAAATAATATATATTATAATAGAAATGTTATTTAATTATTCAAAGTGCGAATGTTGTACAACTAAAAGGAATGATGTTAATACAACATTGTATAAGTTATTACCTGCTAATCTATGTAATAAAATAAGTGAATATGATGTATATTGTAATCAATGCTGTATAACAAGAGACCTTGAAAAGTTTTTTGTTGAAGAACATAAGGATAAGGGATATACAAAGTTTCAATTACAATTGCAATTCTTTATGAGATATCAAAAACGATGTCCTGTATGTTTTTACCATAAAATTGCTAGAAAGTCATTTGAAAAAGAAATTAATGAGTTCTTTAATAATAAAGATTTAATTAAGAGGTTTGGAGGGACAAACGCAATTAAACCATATAAAGCATTTGTTAAAAAATTTCGACGCATGTTTGATGCGATTGATTGGCATTTATTAAGTAAAGATAAAATAAACGAGGTCTTGAATGAATTTAAAATAACTAAATATCATGTATGGTCTTACTACAACACTAAATATCAAGTATGGCTACTAGTTAATTTGTTTTTCTGGGAATATATTTATTCAATAATAGGAAAAGACAATATCAAATATATAGATATTGGCGATATTGATAAATATGTAGATTACATATTTGAAGACATTTTTCCTGACTATAAATGTAACCCATAATTATTAATCATACTATAATAATAACATTTATACCCTTATATGTTATAATTATAATGTCAGTATAGCGTTTTATATATTGAAGATAAAATCCTACAAGGCGGGCCACGCCCCAAAAAAATATATGATGAAACTGATGAAACGGGCGAGGAGATTGAGGAAATGATATTTTGGAGGGTAGTTGGTGAAATGAATGAGGCGAGGAGAAAGGAGAAAAGGATTGCAAAACATTTGGAAAATGATGATAAAAAAACGGATGAGATGGACAGAAAGGAATGTAGAAAAATGATGAAAACAAATAAGGGTAGAAGATGGAGTTGCTGTTCTATTTTTTTGTCCGGGAAATGGACAAATCGTTTTTAGACAGTTCGAATATTTTTTTGATGACAAATATTTTTTGCAATATATTTTGCAAAAATGTAGGGTGGGGGGTATGTATGAAGCAATTTATTTGCTAGGCGTGGCCCTCGACTACTTATTCCTGGCCCAAAAATAACCATGGGCAACTTCCACATTTACTGGTGAATGAATGTCATCTGCTTTGGCGGTTTCCCGAACGGTCACCCCAAGAACCTTTTGATCAACTCTCATTGGTGGTGTGGGGCTGGATGCGGCCTGGTGGCCGGATGTGTGCGCTGAGACCTTCGATCCGCAGTGCACCATGTCAGCGCCGCCTGTGCCGATCCCTCATGGAAACCAAGCCGAGCCATACCCAAACTGGGGTCCCCTCCACATGTTCGTATTTGGGGGGAGGCTACATATGAAGCAGAAACTGATATATATATATATATATATATAATACATATATATATATATATAACGGCAAGCAAACAAAACTAAGTAAATATAAAAATGCTTACATACATGTACATTTCTATATGCACAATGTTGGAATACCCGAAAAGCTGAGCCGAGCTTACAGAAGGGTCCCCTACGAGGGACCTTGGATGAAGTCCCAGGAAATCAGCGAGGGCTCAAATCTTTGGCGTGCTCCGAGCAAGTCCAGTGTCTTTCTCCAAACCTGGTATTGAAGTGGCCGACCCAAAGCCAAGTAAGAATTTAAGCAGGGCCGCACCTGTTTATGTCGGTTCTTTTTTTAAACCTTGAGTTGCCCAGGTTCAACTGCGGCCCAAGTGCCAAAGCAGGGAGATGACCTTGCTAGAGCGACAGCAAATCAGGGGTCCGTTGCTGTGGGGAGGCAAACAAAAGCTGGCGTCCACACAAGGGCGACGCCAGCTCAAGTTGATAGGTGACAGGAGAGAAAGTTCGTGAGAAGGGTCAAATGCGGCCCCCATCGTTGAACTCACCAAAACATCCAGTAAACGTGAAGAAAAAAGGCCATCAGGCATGCGATGCAGGATGCAAGGCAGCGCAAGCTCTTTTCCCTTCAGCCTTGAGCCAAAAGTAGTGCCAAAAGCGTGTTGCTTGATAGGCATGTCAACAACGAATTTAGGGAACCGCATTGTGAAGAGGAAGTTACATGAAGGGCTGCGGTGCAAAACCCAATCAATTCAACCCCCCTCTTGCTTTACATGATGCGGAGGTAGACCGGGCGAGTCCTTTCGACAATGACTACCTAAATCGAATTAATGAGATGATGAACTCGTGATGAGGCGCATTCGTGATTCAATCACTGCTGCTGCACACGGCTTGGACGACAATCCTTTCAAGTGGAAAGCCTCGACAAGTGCAAGGGTCGCAACTATTATCCATACCTATGCCGAATCGAAAGGCAAGATAGACATACAGTGAACAGGCGCAGAAGCTGCCAAAGTTCCCATGCGTTAGGAAACGGTTGTTCCTATGCTTCACAGTTGTTGCAAAAACACAAATTAATTATGAGCCAAAGCATTGGAAGAGAGACGAGGCAGCGCTGACGCAACTAGAGCTCGCTCAATCCCGGCATCAGCAATGACTGCTTACACATCATTCCTATACTCTTAGATGCAAATGCACATGAGAAGTACGGAGCAGCGCCGAGCAGCTAGAACCCGCACAAGCCAATGGGCAGAAGTCTGGACAACGCAAGTGATGGATTCGGTGAGCCCGAGCTTCAAGAGGTTGCATGTGGATCATCTGCTCCATTTCTGCCGACCAAGGGCCCTCGTCAGGATATCACCCTTCTGGTGATCAGTGGACATGTACTCAATCTGAAACTGAGAGTCACGAAACATTTCACTCACGGATGCAACGTTGATCTTGTGAGCCTTTGGCAAGTGCCGGAGCTTACTGGAACACTAACCGTCAAAGGTCGCCCTAGAACAGTTTCCCATGCTGACTGAAGAGGGATGCATTCAGAGAAAGGGCTGTTGCAAGGGCAATCACTTCTGATTCCGTGGTAGACCGGCTCACAACGCTTTGCTTCTTGCTAACCCAAACCAACGGCGGGAAAGACTGATCAGCCTCAAGGGCTATGAAGAAACCTCAGCAGCTCTTGGCTGTTTCATTGCAATCGCCAAAACTTGCATCAACATAGCAGGATAGTTTCAATTCCGATGCCTGATTATGCGTGAAGGACAGAATGGCGTAGTTGGTGGTCACGGACATGTGTCCGATCACTCTAACCACGACTTGAATGTCTGGTCGGCAAAACCTGGTAGCCAAAGCAATTTCATGATGATGCGAGCTGCTGTGGCATGAAGTTCTCCTTTGATAAGGAAGTCATCTGCTACTAGCGAGCCGTCAAGATGAGGTGTCTTGGCACTTCGAACTGGCATGGAAGAGAGCTCTTGGTATCGCTCCACACAGGATTGGGCAAACTTGGTTGCTTGCGTAGCGAGAACTTTTCGACCATCCAAGGCAAAGGCAGTCTCAAGATGCGCACGCCAAGGACCATCCCAAAAGGGGGTGTGGGCCGAAGCAAGTCCACTCAATGTAAAGTTGGCTACATATACCGAAAGGCAAAGTTGCGCTGAAGGAAAGTAGTAACACGACTTAGCACGGCATCAGCGTGCCGAGCTTTCCGGATGCCCATAAAGGGACTTTACCAAACGAGCACAAGGTTTCTTGAGATGTCCGTATCTCGCCGGGACAAGTTCCAGGGGCAAGAGCACGCTGGGACGTCAGTCTGGAGATTGCTTTGGATATACGCACTTAAAGCGTTGGCTGCGCTAATGCGCTTGTGGGACGGGAACTGACCATAACCGATCACGAAATTGAGCCCGGCGGTCGAGGATGGCGCTGAAGCAGCCAGGTCCTGAAAGACGGCGCTCAACCCAGTTCTGATGATGGATCCTATTGGCCCAAGCTCAAATTGATGAGTCACCTGCTGGATGAGGGAATCTTTGGAAGCTAGCTGATGCCGAAGCTCTTCGATCTGGGATTTATGGCTGAGCATTTGCTGCTGCAACATGCTAATATGTTGATCCCTTTCATTCATGGCCTTATTCATTGAGTTCCTGACTTCAAGTTGATGACCAACTGCTGGACCAAATTAGCAATTTCCTGCTTGGCTGGGATCATGGATCTCTTGCGCGAGTCCTTCAGCTGCCGAGATTCTCGGTCCAGGATGAAGGGACCCCCCAGAGTTTACAACATAACTACCCCGCCTGGAGTTCATCAAGATGGTGCGCAATCCCAAGTTCAAAATAACCTTGATCAAGTCATGAGAGCCTTCCAGGATTTGTCCGATCGATTCACCAAAGTCGAACGTGATGGCACGGCTACACTCGTGCAAGGAGTCCCCTTTCAAGACGCATTCAGATCATCAGACCAGCCCGTGATGCAAATCCTATGGACTTTCCAACCAGCCCATCAAGAATCAATGAAAGGGAGGATTGACTCAAAGGCCTTAGGGTGCATCAAAATTGAGCCCGCTTTTGACTGTGCGGCATCGTTCAGATCATGGAAGAACTCTATCAACTCGATCATCATGTTGTGCGCAAAGTGCGGTTTGGCTTGGATCACTAAGAGCTTCACTGATGATCTTGCCTCGCTCGATGCAACAAGTGGAGATTTCCCGCGATTTGACAGGTGGCTTTGACAACCGCCAGTTGTGCGCTTGTGAGCATCGTGCGCCAAGGGGTAGGTACATCTTGTCAATCATCGCCCGTCACTATGATCTTGACAGGGCCCGAGGCTATGTGCTGACCACCGCGGCACTCCTAGCGTTGGACCAAGCTGGTTTGGCAAGCGCTGAATTGCAGGACTTAGTCAGTAAGGTTTCCTTCACCATGACCTCGATCCCAATCGATGAGGTTGCTTCAGATTGGCTGTTAGGGGAACGGCTGTTCAATAAGATCAGGAGTTGCAAGAAATTGGAGAGGCACATTGAGGATATCCGTGCATCCCCAAAGGAAGCCCCATGAGGGGTTTCAACTATTTGTGGGATAAGGTAAAGAATTTTCTTCTCCGAAAGAGAGGATATCTGCAAAAGGGAAAGGGCAAGGGAAAGCTTTCCCCTGAGGAAAAGGCTAAGATCCCTTGTGTTTTCTTCAGTATGTAAACCGGGTGCCATCATGGTGAGCAATGCAAGCATTCTCACACTAAAGTTGGCAAGTCCGATCAGCATGGGGCCACAGCCGATCCCAAAACTCCAGATGCTCCTTCCGGCATGATTCTCCGTTTTGCAGGGAACAACTACGTGGCCGCACGGTCCAAGCGCCCCAACGCCGCATCGATGAGACCGGCCCGTCAGAAGGATGTGAGGCATGTAGGTCAGGCACATATTAATATGAAACGCTTCGAGGCGGCATTTGTTCATGTCAGACCTCCTTCGGCCGCTATACAAGAAGCTAAAGCTCTTGGCGATGCCTCATCTTCCAGTCATCAATCGTTTCAGGCTGAGGCACATGATAAATGAGAGTCTGTGGCTGTCTTTGCCGGGGAAGACCCGCTTGTTGGCGAAGGTACCAATGATGTTGAGTACTCATGCCCGAAGTGAAATTCCCGTCCCGACGCCTCTCGACATTGATTCGGACGAGGAGTTTGGCCCTGATTCATTTGTGCCTGTCACCCCTCCCAGTGAGCATAAGCATCTCTTCGCAAGAAGGTGATCGAACTCCGGGTCGCTCCCATCACAGGCGTGACGGCTTATGCTGCCATTTTCAAGCATCTTATTGAGATTGGTTTGCCTATTGAATGTCTCTCTGAGCAGCCCTCATCCATCTGTGGTGGTGCGGAGCACGCCGCAAGAGCTGCAGATCCTAAAGGATCAGGGGCGAATGTCTTGTTTGAGTTCTGTTGCGCGCCAGGCTCAATGTTTTGTGATGTTGGCAGCCTCCCCGATGTCAAAGTTATCAGATTGTCCAAGGATGTGATTGATGTTCAAGTCCGATTTTATAATGTAGTTGATGGAGCAGATTAGTGTTCTTCCTTCGTGTTCTATTCATGGTTCCATAGAGCGCTCCCCTTGGTCAGTTTGGCAACACCTCAACATGTTCGAGTGGTCCAGGTATTGTGCAGGATGGAGTCTCCCCAAACCTTGACGAATTGTCAGCAGTTTGGCCAGACTTGCTAACGCACTTGCAGTTTATCAGTGTAACCATCATTCATCCATGCGCAAACCCGCTGCAGGGGCTGTAGCAAGGACCACTGCATTCTATCCTAGCCCATGGCTCGCGAATTATCGAGTCGTGTTACTTGGAAACATGTCCCATCAATGTGTTTTCGCTGGGAGACACCCTCATAGGTCTTCTCCGACAGTACCATGCATTCAGGCCGATGTAGCGATGTATGACTAGGCACCGAGTCGTTGCCTCTGCTGGAGTTCATAAGCTCATTTGATCGTAAGCACTGGGTCGGCAATCCAGCCGCAATGGAGGCGATCCAATCTGAAAAAGGAGGTCTCCTTCAAGAGGGCGCTTGGGACGAGTCATGAAGTATGGAACACTCTGATATCGGGGCCGTGCAATTCAGCACCAAGACCAATACTCCTCAAAACCATGTTCAGTCAGAGCAAATGGTACCCATGAATCAGCTCTTGAGTAGCGATCCCAATGATGTGAGCTCGGACCAACCCCAAATTCCTTGAGTGAGCCCAACGGTTCAGCAGTTTAATCAGCTCAATAACCTTGCCTGGGACCTGACCGTGAACATCCTTCATCAACAGACGATCAATGTTGCAGCAGTTGGTGTGGACCCGATTCTGTCCGCCAATCCGATATGAGTCAACGTAGGAGGGCTGAGAGACTTGATCAATCATCATGCACCTACCGGGGCCGCACACAGGCTGCTATTTCACACACTCGGCAGTTGCTGGTCTACACAGATGGCGGAATCACCGATGAAGATTCTTCGGATGATGCTGATGCAAGATCACCTGAATCAGCGGCAACGCATCAGTGATAGACCAAAGATACTGCACATTCGGGCCCTGCGTCTTGTGAGGCACCTTGATTCCAATAGCCGCGCAACAACGATTGGAGTTGATCTCCTCAAGAACGCTCGTGTCGTCGCCCAAGTGGATCACCCAAACGTACGGATACAGGGATGTCAATGTTTCAAGCTTTCCCTCCGGGCCACACCTCTGAGGTACAAAAATTGCACGGTTAAAAGAGGTATGGTGATGCTCGTGAGAAAGTGCCCTCACTGCTCCGACAAAGTTGTCGTTCGCACGAATGCTACCGCGGACCTTCGGGATATACGAACAAACAACAACGTTGAGGCCAGGATAGCGCAAAAGCAAATCTGCAATTGCTTCAACGTTCCTCAACGGAAGATGACGGCGAGAATCCCACGCGCTCCGCCGGCCTAAGCCCACGATCGATATCCAAAACCTGGTGATAATCGAAGGAGATGACGACACCCTCAACTCCGGACACCAAGTCTTGAACACCAAAAGGCTCCTGATACCCAGTGGTCCCCCAATTGCACAGCTTCGCGAAGAGCTCGATTCAGCACCAAATCAGATCCAGCAGGGCGAGGCAAAGCCTTCGCCAACGGACGGACGGCCCGTCCTGTAGAGCAAGTTCCCGTCTCAACCAAGTCACTGCCGGCCGAGAAGCAGAGGGCAACGGACCCTCCTCGCTCTCGGACTTGTCAACTTCGAGCGGGGGGCCGTCGCCGAAGCAGCCCAAGCACCCCGATCGCGGCGGTAGCGACCTCCAGCTCCAGCTCCAAGCTGAGCCTGCAACTCTGCCTCCGACTCCGAACTGACCCAACCCGCACCAGCGCGCAAAGGCCTCGAAGATCCTTCGGCGTGCCGCACCTTCGCCTTTTTCGGTTCCGGTGCAGCCAAATAAAAGCGTCCCTTCTTGCTCGTGCCTTCTTTCCGCCACGAATGCCCCTGGGCAAACAAGTGAGATTTCAGGAAGGCGATGAGGTAGAAGACGCTCAATACGGCTGATAACCAGTTGAACTCACCAAAACATCAAGTAAAAGTGAAGAAGAAAAAAGGCCATCAGGCACGCGACGCAGGATGCAAGGCAGCGCAAGCTCTTTTCCCTTGAGCCTTAAGCCACAAGTAATGCCAAAAACGTGTTGCTTGATAGGCATGTCAACAACGAATTTAGGGAACCACATTGTGAAGAGGAAGTTACATGAAGGGCTGTGATGCTGCAACTCAACTCCCATGACTAGAGCAAAAGAGACTCCAGCTAGCATGCAGCTAGCAAGCGAGCTTCCGTGCAAACTGCAAAGCAAGTCTGGCTGCGCCCCATGCATAGGTGTCCTTTTTGTAAAGTAGGTGGGTTTCCTTGGAAAATGGGGCATAAGACCAATCTAAACCAATGGAACCCATCCATTTCCACTCAACCGATCAAAAGGTTCTGATAGCTCCCCAAAACGAAGTCCTGGCCTGTCTTGCGCCGGCGACCGGTCCTGAGGCAGCCAATGGTTTTCCCATGGAGAGAATCCATGCGCTCGGATAGGCTTGCCCCTCCCCCCCCCCAAAAAAAAAAAAAACGGACAAGGGCCTGAAAATACTGGACAGGGTGGAAAATCAGGTGTCCAGCGCCCCTGTACACACACACACACTCGGCATGCCAAACTCTACACATGCCCAAGGAGATTCCAACCCAATGCTAAACCACTGACCGAAGGAAAATTGCAGTGTCTGATCCCCTGTGAATGGGTGTGCCTCAAGCTATGGTGTGAGAAATGGTATCCTCCAAAAACAGGCACCCAAATGGAGAATGATTCATTTGGAAGGCCTTTTGGTATCACAGTGGCTGCAATTCCGGCAAAGCTTTCCATGCAACGCGTTTCCTTTGCTGACAGTTGCTGACTTGTGAGGTTCCGATCGGTACAGTGGGAGCTAAACAACCTGCCTCCCGCGCCCTGTTCAAATCATTCAGGCTCAGACGCCAAAGAGAAGAGTGAGGTTCACCCGAGGGTTCTGCTCCTGCGCCGAAACTTAGCCGCAGGCTAGAGAGCATGATTCACTTTGGGGGAAGCACACCGCAAGTTGTCGGGGTTGCAACATTCGGGCTCGACTTTTGCGGGTACTGTTGAGCCTATATGAATCAACCCCATGAATCGGGGGGTGTTCCGAAGTTCCCCTCCTTTGTCACGACCCCCACAAAACCCAGAAACACCCTATTAATATATTTGGGGTGATTCATATGGGTCAACATGACCCCAAGCATCCCTTAGTGTCGCACCCATGCGCGGCTGAGGCTGGGGCGTCCGGAAAGTCGAAGGCTTCGGAGGCATGATAGCGATGGGACACCTGACCCGATGCCCGTGTGGGTGCAATGCCTTCCAACCGAAACTCCGGGCTTCCTAAGGAAAGACGAGCTACTAAGAACCCACCCAAAATCTTCGGGCCTGACGCCAAAAAGTCAGCTCTATGCTGTCGGCACGAGCCACTTCTGAAAAACTCATATTGGGTGTTTCTCAAAATGGAACCACCAAAAACAGTGTGTTTCCTTTTGTGTCCCATTAAAACAATCCCAAAAACGTTGGGTTTGCGCCTGAATCCCGTTTTGGCCAAGCCTCTTTTTAGACCCATGTCTTCAACCACTGCTGCTCATTTCCTGAGCGGATTGGCCAAAGAAAGTATGATTTTGTTTGTTTACCACCAAATTGGTCTTTCCTTCTCAGCTCTGGCAGTGGGATTGTCTATCACAACTGTTGGCTCCCTTTAAAGTGGACAGGGGGTGGTTTGTTCAACCGAATGTCTATGTGTCAAACAAACACACGCATGCCTATGTGTCCCCCACATGCTGGGTTCCTTTTCGAATCTTTTCGATTTTTCCCTTTGGCCCAACCCAAAAACGAAATGTGTGCAACAAAAAAAGCTCAAAGGAAACAACGTTTGTGGGTACCCGCACAATTCCTCTTGAGGCCTGAGGCGCTGACGAAGATGCAGGCACGGTTCTGCTTGTAGGCCACTCGGTCAACTCCTCCCTGTCTCAGGGCCTCACTCACACTGATTCGCTTCGCTTTCCTCATGCCAAAACCCATTGGACCTCGTCTGACGTCAGATTTTACATGAGAAGCAAAGCTTAGGGAACGTCGTTAGGACATGCCGCCCCCTCCCCCAGCAAGCGCTACACTCCGGCCACCTTCACCTCAGCGCCTCAGACCCCAGCCGCCCGGGCCACATCCTCCTCGCCTGCAGCCAGCACCTGACCACGGCCAATGAGCCAGAACTCAGGGTGAAGGGCTACTAAACTTTGGGTTCACATGGGCTGATCATGTAGGAAAATGCATGAATTGCAATATGGTTTTAGCCTTTGGTTTTCCTTTTCTTCGTGGTTCTGGCTTGCTTTGCGGTCTTGGATAACCGCATGAAGAAAGACAAGATCCTGCAATAGGAGAAACAAAAAATGCTTGGAAAAGGGGCTCCTAACAATGGGGCGGACACTTTTGCGCGCTTCTGTTTGTTTCCGCCGTTGAACATTCCATTCACCGCATTGCAAAGTTACGCAATAAACAGTACTCTACAAAAAGAAATGGTTGGATTTATGTGTTTTACTGGTTACTGGGTTGACATCAATGACTGTTATTGAATGTGGTGTAAAATGTAGCTGTATACATCTATCCAAATAGTAGACAAGAACGAATATTAGGTATTATTACAATAGTTGGAAAATGACCAAATTTCGAGTTGAGAAGCAGGGAACGAAAGCTAGCGTGTGGCAAGGTATCGGCGTGTGGTCAGTTCTAGCCTCCACTCATGCCATCTCAGGGTGCGTCGTTTCGCTTGCGCCTCGTGCAGGGCAATCTGGTCCTTCAACATAGGGCTTACCGCGTAAACTCCAAGCCCTGGAAGAGTTCAGCTTTTACAGCCATGTTGCCCAAGTTGGCCTCTAAAAAGGCTTTTGAAAACATCTGAGTCGCTTCCGAAGGGTGTCAAACTTGCGCCAAGCGCAATACAAAACCTGATCCAATACCCGCAACCCATAACCTGCATCGAAAAATCCACGCAACCCATCATCTGCAGTCCGCAAGCTGCATGAGCTTATCCGTAAACAGCACAAAACGCAACCCGCTAATCAATGCTGCTTCCAATCAAAGATGGCCCTGGGATTAAGAATGAACAAAGTGCATTGTTCATCTTTAATCTTTGGGGAACCGCGTAGTGGGTAACAGCTTCAGTGGTTGAACAGGTAAGATAGCCCCGGGATTAAGAATGAACAAAGCGCATTGTTCATCTCAACCTTTAGGGAAGTGCGTAGTGGCTAAAAGCTTCAGTGGTTGAACAGGCGCGTGGGGTCTCCTGAATCAAAGACGGCCAAGGGATTAAGACTGAAAAAAGCGCATTGTTCACCTTAACTTTTAGGGAAATGCGTAGTGGGTAAAAGCTTCAGTGGTTGAACAGGTGCGTGGGGTCCCCTGAATCAAAGACGGCCAAGGGATTAAGAATGAAAAAAGCGCATTGTTCATCTTAATCTTTTGGGAAGTGCGTAGTGGGTGAAAGCTTCAGTGTTTAAACAGGTGTGTGGGGTCTCTTGAATCAAAGATGGCCCTGGGATTAACAATGAATGAACAACGCGCATTGTGCATCTTGAATCTTTTGGGAAGCGCGTGAAAGCTTCAGTGTTTGAACAAGTGTGTGGGGTCGCGAGCACTAATGATGGCCCTGGGATTAAGAATGAACAACGCGCATTGTTCATCTTTAATATTTTGGGAAGCGCGTTGAGAACAGGTGTACAGGTGTACAGGGTCTCTTTGTCGAGGGGCCCGCTCCGCGTTCCACACATTGAGCTACTACAACTGACTGTTTATAACACGTCTACAGACAGAATCATGTGTGAGATTTGTGCGACGCGGCTTTGCAATGGATGGATGGATGGATGGATGGATGGATGGATGGATGGATGGATGGATGGATGGATGGATGGCGTTTGATTGTTTGGTCTGCGAGTCAAAGTTCGGACATCTATTGACACCGAACGAGCCAATGGAAATAGAACGACATTCGACTGCCCCAGCGGAGGTGGTCCAGGGTGGATTCAAGCTCACTGGGCCCGCCTGATATATCAGCCCTTTTGACGAACAAGGGGGTGGGGGGGGTCGGCCTGATACATCAAGTCCTTTGGGGGGGAGGCCCCTTCTCAGCAAGAAGTAAACGAAAACTTTAGCCTAGCTCCAAGGAGCTAGCTTTCGTGATGGTTAAAAAACAACTAGCATTGATGAGTCGTGGGTTTTCTGTTGTTCAGGATTATGCATTAAAACGAAACATGGTGGACTTTAGAAGGAATTTGGAGGAATGACTGGCAATTTGGAAGGAGTTGAAGGATTTGATGGAATTGGTGGACGGTTTTTAGAAAATGAGAATACGCACACAGGGAACTTATAGTTTGAAAAAATATGTTATTGTAGGTATTTCTGATTAAGAAACAATTGTGCTAAGTTGGAGCGAATAATGTGAGCGGAAGCGTGTTTTGAATGGGTTTAGGGATATGACTGAAAATTGGGTTGCCAACTGTGTACAATTTCAAGGCGAGTTTAAGTTTTACGGTATGTGCTTTGAGAGGCCTTAACAGATTTATGGATGGATATGTGTTCCGCATTAGTAACGTTTAAGTATTTGTTCAGAAGACATGCTAATTTGAAAGTAATCTGAATCTTATTGCTGCCATAATGCTGCTACATCGGAAACCCGTGTTTACCTTGTGGTGGTTGGTCATAGCCGGCTTTGGTTGAGACTGAGGCTGCAAGTGGTATTTTGAGGCGATGAGTATGATTTGGATGTGGTATGCTGTTTTCAAGCTTGAGGAATTCGCATGATACAAGTTGATTGATGAAGAATTGCAAAGAAGAACGTGACACTGTCTGAATGGCTAACTTTGTAGGACCTCGCCTGAAAATGGACCCAACAGGTCAAAAAGCGGGCCTTCCAAATGAATGCGTAAGGCCGGTGGTCCAAAAGAGGCGAAATACAAACTGAGCAATGCAACCCCCCCCCCCCAAAAAAAAAACAAACAAACAAAAAACGCGACAACCTCGTCCACGGCGCCACGCGCCGCGTGTGTCTCTTCCCTCGGCGCTTCCGGATCTCTCGGGCGACCTCTCCGTCCCGAGCTGGGCCCCCGGGCTCGGTTGAAGTCCGCCGTCCAGGAGCCCCGGCCCGGAGCGCACCTGAGACGGGGCGGCCGCTTGGAAACCCGGGAGAACAAGCGCTCAAGGCCACCGGTTGGGTGGCTTGAGCAAAAAAATAGGCCGAGAAAGGGACGAGCAACACAAATCCACTGGCCGAGAAAGGGAAAGCCGAAAGGTTGTAAGGTTGATTCGCTTTGGCCTGAGTTTTAAGAATGAGGATGCTTTCCCCCTCAAGCAGGCCTTGCCGGCATTGCTTTTCCACATCTCCGTTCATGAACGTGGTGGTCAAAGCGAAATACACCTCGATCCCCGGAGTTGGAAACACTTTCCTCGGAGTGTTTGAGTCAAATTGGGCGGTTTCCAAACCATAGAAGTTGGTTTCTTGTGATCACATCAATCACCTGCAGTATCCTGCCTTATTGAACAAGCGGCCGCCTTCCCAACAGCGTCAAGCAATTATCAAGGCTATTTCAATGATTTGGAGTCTGAGGTAGCTGATTTCTTCAGCTGTTCTTAACCGAGTCGACTGCTGTGAGACTGCTTCGGCTTGCCCCGAGCAGCCTTTTGCGACAAATATTGCACTTTGTTGCTTGTCGTGTCACGAAGTGGGAGGTTATGCGTCCTATCTGTCACAGTGCGGTGATGATAGAGATCCCTGCATGATTTCAGCCGACTGGGCTTTCCTTCATACTCATCTTATTCGAAACCCATTGCTTGTCCATAGCAGTTTTTGAGCAGTGTGATTCAATGCCCAGCCTTTTTAAAGCAAACACAACCAGTCGTGCTGAATTGTGTCAAGTGTGCTTTCCCAATCAATAAAGGTGATGACCATGTGCACCCCCTGGCTCTGCAGCATCTTGCAGTCGCCTCGGCAAGTATCAGCTTTTGATGTGCTTGTAGAGGGGATACTCCGGAATGTCTTGCAACTGCTTCCGAATCATGCTCACGAAGATCCTACAATCCCATCCAAGACTTTCATGTCTGAACAGTCAAATTCCCAGTCTTGGAAGTGGAATCGCTGGCCAGAAAAAAACAACAACATAACTACTGTCCAACATGTGGAGTCCGGCTGGGCCTTCGAAAAGCTGAATATGTCTCTTCGCTTCCTCTCTACACATCAAATACTGAGTGTGGCCAATGTTAGACCGTAAGCCGCGCACTTACTTTCTGATGTCACACTATCTTCCAAATAACCTGGGGGGGGGGGTGACTCCTAAGCATTAAAACAAAACTCCACTGAAGAATCGACTGGGTAGTTCCGGGGCCTCGTGGCCCCACGGCCTGACCTGAACATGTCACACATAACTTGCTGGTGCGAGAGATGCAGGGAATGAGGTGATGACCTCATTCGAAACCATCCTCTAGGGTTTCCAATTTATTCGGGAATCCCAAAACGGTTCATTCCATTTCTCATTCCCTGAGATCGCACCAGCTGCCCACGCAGCGGGCCTGTAGATCTCAAGGCCGCCACCTCGCGAAACTCGCTCGCCCGGATCCGGGGTCACCCAAGCAAAATGGCGAGGTGAGGTGGGATTTCTTCCTTGTGGCGGAAAAATGCGGGCACTTGTGTGAATTTCCAAAGAAAGAAAGAAGAATGAAGATTGGTGAATGGGCTTCTGTGGCTCCGAGTCTCTGGCAAACAGCCATGGGTTCATTCAGCTTGTCCTGGTCAGAACCCCGCAAAATGGTTAGTGTCCAAATTGAACTGCATCTACCACAATCCAAGAACGGGCAGTGTTCTCTCCGACAAATGCCACCTGGATTGAATGAAGCGCCCCAGTCTGGCCCACTTCCGACCATTTGAAAGGCACCGTATGCTCCGGTCAAGTCTGGCCAAACTATCCTCTGAATCCATTTGTTGTCAGCTGCCAAACCCCCCCTCCCCCCCCCCATCAGTCTAACAATTCAAAAAGCGAATCATATAGCAAAGGCTTCAAAACGTTCAACAAAACCTGCCGATACTTCCTGGCAACGCAGCTTCCTTTCATTCCAACACTTGTCATTCCAGAAATCATGTTGCTTTCAGATGAAACCAGCTGGAAAATCATGCTGCCCACAGGTACTGAATGTGCGCCGTGCCTCTCTGGTTGGGCTGCTCTGGACTAAGCCAAATGTTCACATTCACCGCCGCATCCTGCGATCGCAGGATCAGAGATCTGATTTAAGCTCGCCAGGCTTCTGGGCCCAAAAACATGCCCAGCACCAAAGGCAAATTGGGGATATGCACGACAACATACTGTTGCTCATGTACCTGCATACTGTCAATATGCAACCAAGCAGCGCCTTTGGCCAACCATGGAATCTTCAATGGGCCATCTTCCCAGCGCGTCCGCCGCATTTCTATCTGAAAGCCCGTGGCACTTCTCACACCAAACCATTTTCTTGCAAGGAGGCATAATTTTAATGGGTTTTCGCTGATTGACAAGTATCACTTGCAGTGAGCCACCCTACCAACAAGCATGGAAGTGCGCTGGCCCCTGTTTGGAAGACCACCTCCTTTCGACACTGAATCTAACACCTGAAGCCAAATCGCCTAGGTAAAGGACCAACACAATCAGTTCATGTCACCGGAGATCAACACCGCACCGAGTTCAAGGTCTTCCGCATATTCAGGCGCCCGCGTCAGCATGGAGGCCCACGCCAGACCTGTGCGGTCACGTACGTCTATGGCACTGCGCCTGTGGCATTGCCTCAACTAATCGGGAATGGCTCCCCTTCAAGTGGGGAGCCGGCCTACCTCAGCGAACCATTTGATTGGAAAGAGCCCTTCGCAGTATTGCGCCCTTCCCTAAGCAGTTCAACCTTTCGATGGTTAGGTGGGGGAAGCGCACACGATTGAAGGGCCAAGCAACTAGCGTGGACCCATGAAAGACGTTTTTCTCACTGGCGGATTCCGAGAGTCTCCGAACACCCCGCCCCTCTTCTCACAACAGCACAGCCCGGCAAAAACAAATGTTCGGGGTTGGTGGCAGCTGACTTTGCGGATTGTGCAGGAGTTGCTAACCTTTTGACGCCCCCAGTGCAGTTCACAAGTTGCTTCGCTCTTTCAGCCTCGCTTTGTGCGCACTTGCGTGTGTGCAGCATCCAAAACACTGGAGCGGCTGCCGGACTTGTGGGAAACAAACTTACCGTATCTTGTGCTACCCCTGCGTTCCGTCTCTATGACTCTTTGTTTAATCCATGTTGATGACCCTCCAGGTGCAGTTGCTCACACAAAGCAACAAACTTCCGGCCGGCCAGGGCTTTCTATCGCTTCAAAAGCTCTCTTGGAATCACTTCATTGGCCCTCGGTGCCCATGCGTCAGCTCCCCGAGGCAAGCGCCCGCCATGCAGGTACTTGAAGAACCACCACCTGGACGCTTGAAATCGAGGGGGTTTCTTGCTGGTTCTTGGTCTCACTTCCTGAGATGAGCAAACAAAAACGTCCATTTTTCTGCGATTTATCACTACGCTTCTCTCAAAAAAAATAAGTCCAGGCATTCAGGGAGTGAGCAGTTCGGGAATCGCTTGGGGGGAATCGTCCGTGACCCAAAATCCCAAACATGAGTGATCTTCATGGCTATGATCTGTGCGCCTTGCTAGCCGATGGCCGGCCAACACGCGAGGCCTCAGCGCCAATGCTCCAGCTCCAGGGATGGGATTTTAGCGTGGCGCCGCTCCCTCGCTTGGGGCCAACACTGGTCACCATTTTTTGCGGTACGGAAGGCATTTTTTGTTGGCTCTCTGCTCAGGGTGGCCAGAGTATGGTTGTTTAAAGTTTGCCCAACCCTGGAAAACCCATGACTACTTTATCCCTTCAAAGGAGGTGTGGGAGGTGGAACCCGACACCACACAGCTGTCTGGGTGAATCGTTGCACTTCTCCAAACAGAAGGGAACATCATGGTCTTGCCATTTCGGGGTCCAAGTGCAATTTCCCAGTGCCCTATAGTGACTTCAAAGGAGCACTACGCTTACACCGAGATCTCCCTGCAGTAGCTATTGTTGGCAATTGGAACCCCGGATTAATAAAGCCCTCGTTCATTTTGGCCCGTCCCCTTGTCGAGTGGATGCAAACCACTTTTGGAGGGGCCCCCACCCCCCATTCTCACTTCCTGAGTGGCTTGGCACTGTTTATTTACCGCCAAAATGGTCCAAACCCAAAAAGTGACTAAAGTCCAGCACCTCAGGATTATCAATTCGCACACACCAAAAAACCAACAGCATCTGTTCTGGTCGCTTGGGCTGCACGCATCTTCGTCTCCAGTTCCTCCGCCGTCCTGCGGAGCAGCGGGTGAACCTCAGCGCGCCCCCAAACGCAAAAGTGTAGTCTGGGTTGTTCGAATTGAGTGGCAATCTGAGTGGCAACCCCAGGCTCACCCGCTGCAGCATGGACAGAAACCTCCGCCAGGCCAATTTGCAAAAACAAAACGTGTGCAACCAACGCTCTGAGGCTGAAAAGTCCATGCTGCAACAATGCTGCTTGGACTTGGTTTGTGGGAGTCTGTGGGGGCGGGTCATGAAATCCAGGAAAGGATCCTAGGCTATGAAGGGGAAGTGCCAAACCTCATCTTGGAAAAAATAAGGATTAATTATATAGGTGTCCCTTTTTTGTCTGATTTGGTTGAAAAATAGGTTGGGTGATTCCTGGGTTACCTGGTTCAATCAACTACCAGGGCCCCCAAAAAAGGACACCTATGGCTCTGAACATGTCTAAATCCCAAGAGAACTCCCATGGCCCCCAATCAGGGCGGAGGCTTCAGTGCGTTTGCTCTCCTTCTGTTGGTGGTTTGGATTGATGGCCAGGGGTTACTCTTGGTCAGCTGGCTCTGCTAGCCGCCTTCCAGTGACTTCAACAAGCAGCATGGGCCAACGCCAAACAAGATGCTGTGTTTCAAGCGACTGGTTGCGCTGCCTTTCTTGTGCGGGGCCTCTCTCGGAGCCTTTCGGCAGGGATGGATTCACCCACGCTTCGGGAGGAGTCGATGTTCAGAGCATCCTGGGGGCGAGAGCCCTGCGACCCCAGCATCTCCAGAGAGGAAGTGAAGGCGTTTCTGGACGGCCTCCGGGTGAACCAGCTGGGGGCCCCCCCACGCGCCCACTTTGAGCTCCGGGCACAGCCGTCCCATGGGAAGGCTCCGAGATACCCCGGGCGCAGCGAGCGGAAGCACGGCGCCTCACAGCGGCCGGGCGGGCGCGGAGCTCCGAGCTCCCAGCTCGGTGCTGGGGATGTGACTGCGGCGCTTCCGGCCGGAAAGTTGTTTTCGGCGGGGGTTGGCTCCGGGGAAAAATGAGGTGCAGCTGATTTGTTGGTGAGTCCCTCCTTTTTTAGGGGATTCCCTGCTTTTGGCTTGTTTTAAGGAGAAACCCAAAGGAAACGAAACCGTGTTGAGGGGTCCTAAGAAAACCTTCGGGGCTTCCTCGGGGCGTCGTTGATTTTGATGACACTCGTATGTCCACGTTGCCATGAAACCCACAAGAGAAGCGGTCCCTTTGAAGGAAAATAGTCCAAACCAGGACCCCGAAACGTCAGGTTCCGTGTTAGTGGACAGGAGGGTGTCTGTTTTTGATGACACCCTTTCTGATGATACCTCCAAACAGCTTGGAAAAAGAAATTCCAAAGAACCTTCGGATGTCATACGCCTTTTCTGTGGCTTTTAATGGACCTCCAGCAAGAAAAAAAGCCATGTGTGGGGGTCAAAAAAAGACACACCCATTGAGGCTCCGATGTGGCGCATCGTCACTCCAAGCTAAGAACTCTAGGTCCAGAGTGATATCCTGAACATTACCTTCTAAATAGTGGCTTAACCAACATTAAAAAACAACAAAATACTTCACACATGGGTGGCTTCAAGGGGCCTTCCCACCTAAAACAAGTTCTGAGACTTCACACATGCCTTGCCACCAAAAAAAAGCAACATGCAGCGACCGCTTCTCGACTCGGATCATTGCCGGCGCCTCGGTGGCATATGTCCACCTCGCGCGGGAGGTAACCCCCTTACAACTTTTGACAGGTGCCTTTTCTCACAGGATTCCCTTTTCCTGCACCTGAAATCACCCCGCTAAAAGGAGGTGCACAAGGTGATGCTTAAAACCACCAACAGAGGGAAGTATGGCGGGACTCTGGTTGAGAGGTGCTCTTTTGGGGAGTTCAAGGCCAACTCCTTTCAGCACTCCTTGCTAGGCTTCTGCCAGGTTCGCATGTCTGAAGCTGGGTTGGACACCAAAACCAAAAATTGAGAGGTGGCCGAGTTCCAAGAATGCTCAGCGGATACCACACTTAAGCAAAAGAAGTGAGGCCGCAAAAGAGGTGAGACCACCTTTTTTGCTGTGGGGCCGCTTGGGCTAGGGAGTGAAAGCATGTTTGGAGGACGGAACTCGGAAAAGTCTTGCAGCCCTCCCTGGGCCATCAAGGTGGCCATTGTAGCGCTTGTCCCTGGGCCACTGGCAACCGGCAACCCAAAACTCAACCCGTTCTCCCCCACCCCATTAAAACACACACCCCTACCCCCCAAATGCCCCCAGCCCTCTCCGCCCACTAAGATTCCAGGCAGCTCCAATAAAGCGGCGTCGCTGAAGAAGCCATCCAGCACCAGCAAACCACTTCCTTCGTACTCCTGGCGCTTGCTTCTTCCCCCCAAAACTATGGCCGGCCCAGATCTGGGGCGGTGATCTCAAAATAGCGGTCCCCCTTTTGGGGTTGGGTTTTGAGGGCAACCAAAAGGAAACCGCCCACCTAAAGGGGCTCCTAATTCTGAGAAATACCCATATATGGCTGTCTCTCTCTCTCTCTCTCCAATAAGTTGGCAGTTTCTACCACAATGAAAGGCTACCCTCAAAGGAACTTCACACCCCAACATGAGCATGTGAATCAAAAGAAGGGCCGCAAAAAGCCAATGCTGTTACTGTTGGTTTCAAGCTTGCTTTTTCTTTTGGGGGATCCTCTACACCCATTTGGATTGGACAAGGGAATGGCAAGTGGACTGCGAGAGACATGTCCTCACGAGTCAGCCTCCGCAAAGGTCCCAGACACCTTCCCTCAAGGCTTCCCTGTTGCGCTGCTTTTCGATTGGAAGCACCTTCTTGACATGGGCTGGTTCTGGGCGAGCAAGGCGGGCTCAAAATACAAAGAAGGGTCAACCTGCCTCGTGTTTGGCTTGGCAAATCCAGCTTCACCCAGGTTTCTTCGCCACAGAAATGGAGACTCACTCCTTGATGTCTGGACACCGGGCGGTTCGTTGCTGAGTACAGAGACGACAATGGTTGTTTAAACGGTAGTGGTGTCATCATGTTTGGACCTGCTTATAACAATACTCCGCTTACATGCGACAAACATCCACATAAATCCGCGGACAATTTCTACACCAGTAGCTCCGAGCCCGTCCTCCTCACAAATTGTCCAGGAACGATCCCGCAAAGGGTCCTGTCTGTGTGTGTGTGTGCCGTCTTTGTCTATCGGTCAGCCCCGTCTGTTTCTGTCGGTTGTGATTGTTTTCCGTGCGCGTGCCTGTGCATCTGCCAAACAGAAAGTCATTTACATTGCCTCCCTTTTTTACCCAAGGGAAACCATAGGATTTGCATACAAAGGGGAGCCTTCTCACCATACACCAATATAACTACGGGACAGTGAGCAAAAGGTACATCTCAACAATCCGAGCCGAGTCACGCCGCCAAGCTCGCGTGGCGGCGGGCACACCTCCGACACCACGCAGCTGGGGAAACAAAACGGCGCAAGAGGCTGAGGCGCCAACCTCCGTCAACCGATCCTCGGCGTGCACTTGGAATCTTCGCGCGGTTGGAGTTTTGTCATTATCCCAGCGCTGAAATAGTTGCTTGGGTTGCTTGGTCATATCTGGCATCCCTGCTTCCCCTCCAAACCAGATCGGCGCGCACCTCGCCCCTTTGCCTTTCAGTCGAAACGGCTTTCACTTCTGGAGGCGTCCCAAAGGAATGCGGGGGCCCAGGAACTCTACCCCAAATAGATTGGTCCACGGCCAACCCAGCGGTTCATGTGCCAGGCATGGCCCAACAACCATGAAGGAAACCTCCAAGAACAATGGTTTACCCTCCCAAATGTATCATTTAAGGGACCTCTTCAAGCCATAGCTTAAACCAGCTGCTTTTTTTGGAGGAGAAGAGAGGGGTGGGTGGGTGGGTGGGTAGGTTGGGGGGGACAAACAGAACCGGGGGCCACAAAGTCCGTCCTCTCGCTTTGGCCAAGGATCATAGCGTCCCTCCCGCAGGAGCCCGGCGATGTGCCGTGGCAAATCCTGGACGCTGGCCTTGCCACAGCCAAAGAGGATCCCAGGAAACATGTTCCGAATCTTAGCGGAAGAAACCAAAAAGACTAAAGTGCCCAAAACAGCACTTTTTAAAAGAAGTCTAGGTGTGCTTCTTGGGTTCCATGTTAGCTTGCTGAGTAATCTGACTTAAGCCACTGGCATCAATTCCTAATTTACCTTCATTCTGACTTGGCAGTTGTTCACAGGGATTGGCACATGCCCACCCGTTTACGGGGAGGCACGGTTGAAGAGCCATGAACTGCAATGTGACTCGGTGGCATCTGAAACTGTAAGATTACATGTCTCTGCGGGCTGGTGCAAATCGTAAGCTTACGATCCGGAGGCTTCAAGCCCCAGAGCCACGTGTTTTGCGTGTCTTTCCACAGTGGGGCCGGGGGGGGGGGGAAGAATGGGATCTACATTTGCTTGCCCCTCCCCCCTCCATCCTCCCCCCACCCCAAAAAAGATAAGCTCAGGTGGCATCCCGAACAGCCCGGAACTGAAAGCTGCAACAAGCAACATGGCTGTACTGCAACGCTACGTTCTTGAGGGGCAAATCTGTGTAGGGGGGTTCCGCTTGAGTGCGCCAAAGAAACCTGCCCTGATTCACATAACCATGTCTTCACACCAAACCCCCCTCCCCCTCCCCCCCCCAAAAAAAAAACTAGAGGACGACTGGCCCGAAAGCATTTTCCACAGGTGCTCATCCAGCCGCGGAGACACCTTTTTACATCGCTGCGGCGAGCGTGTCTGCGCGCGGCGATGCTCAGTGTGTATGGTCACATGAGAGCTCCATCTCATCATCCCACTTTCCTCTCGAACTGCGCCGCGCGATTTCTCACTGGTCTGCGCAAGCTGCATTGTTCCTGGCTGCTGCGCGCAAGTTGCTCTCTGCAAGCTGCTGCGCGCAAGTGCTCTGTGCAAGTTGCTCTGCGCAAGTGCTCTGAGCAAGTTGCTCTGCGCAAGTGCTCTGCGCCAGTTGCTCCGCGCAAGCGCTTTGCGCATGTGCTCTGCGCAAGTTGGTCTGTGCAAGTTGCTCTGCGCCTGCTCTGTGCAAGTTGCTCTGCGCAAGTGCTCTGAGCAAGTTGCTCTGCGCAAGGGCTCTGCGCCAGTTGCTCCGTGCAAGCGATGTGCTCTGTGCAAGTTGGTCTGTGCAAGTTGCTCTGCGCAAGTGCTTTGTGAAATTGCTCTGTGCAAGTTGCTCTGCGCAAGTTGCTCTGCGCAAGTGACTCTGCGCAAGTTGCTCTGCGCAAGTGCTGCCGGAGCTGCCGGGGTGTGCTCCGCGTACTACGTTTGTACTTACAAGTTGCGATTCTCCAGCCGGAGCTGCGGGGGTGTGCTCCGCGTACTACGTTTGTACTTAAAAATTGCGATTTTCCAGCCGCACGCTCCGCATACTACGTCTGTACTGAAAAGTTACGATTTTCCAGCCGGAGCTGCAGGAGCACGCTCCGCGTACTACGTTTGTACTTAAAAGCTGCGATTTTCAAGCCAGAGCTGCCGCGGACCAGGGGGGAATCGAACCCGCGACCGCGGGATTGCGAAAGCAGGCGCGCAAACCACGAGACAACTTCCAAAGGCCATTTCGCGAGCAAGAATATTGCACGGCGCCACAGCGAGAGACACGCACAATCTCCGCAGAGGGTTCGCCGAGACTAAGACAAATTCGCACGGCGCCACAGCGAGAGCGCTTCGACGCGCACGATCTCCGCAGAGGGTCGCGCGCGCATGCTAAAAATCGTGAAAAGTCCTCAGTTTTTGAACCTCGACCACGCGAATCTCCGCAGAGGGTCGCGCGCGCATGCTAAAAATCGTAAAAGTCCTCAGTTTCTGAACCTCGACCACGCGAATCTCCGCAGAGGGTCGCTCGGGCATGCTAAAAATCGTAAAAAGTTCTCAGTTTTTTGACCTCGACCACGCGAATCTCCGCAGAGGGTCGAAATCCCGAGCGACGATCAAACTCCCGCCCCGGCGCCTTAGAAACCTAAACTAACTTACATAGCTGCTAACGCCGAAGCTCTAAGCTCTACCTAACCTTGGCTCTATGTAACTTGGCTCTATGTAACTTGGCTCTGTGTAACTTGGCTCTATGTAACTTGGCTCTATGTAACTTGGCTCTATGTAACTTGGCTCTAACTTGGCTCTATGTAACTTGGCTCTATGTAACTTGGCTCTATGTAACTTGGCTCTATGTAACTTGGCTCTATGTAACTTGGCTCTATGTAACTTGGCTCTATGTAACTTGGCTCTATGTAACTTGGCTCTATGTAACTTGGCTCTATGTAACTTGGGCTCTATGTAACTTGGCTCTATGTAACTTGGCTCTATGTAACTTGGCTCTATGTAACTTGGCTAACTTGGCTCTATGTAACTTGGCTCTATGTAACTTGGCTCTATGTAACTTGGCTCTATGTAACTTGGCTCTATGTAACTTGGCTCTATGTAACTTGGCTCTATGTAACTTGGCTCTATGTAACTTGGCTCTATGTAACTTGGCTCTATGTAACTTGGCTCTATGTAACTTGGCTCTATGTAACTTGGCTCTATGTAACTTGGCTCTATGTAACTTGGCTCTATGTAACTTGGCTCTATGTAACTTGGCTCTATGTAACTTGGCTCTACTTGGCTCTATGTAACTTGGCTCTATGTAACTTGGCTCTATGTAACTTGGCTCTATGTAACTTGGCTCTATGTAACTTGGCTCTATGTAACTTGGCTCTATGTAACTTGGCTCTATGTAACTTGGCTCTATGTAACTTGGCTCTATGTAACTTGGCTCTATGTAACTTGGCTCTATGTAACTTGGCTCTATGTAACTTGGCTCTATGTAACTTGGCTCTATGTAACTTGGCTCTATGTAACTTGGCTCTATGTAACTTGGCTCTATGTAACTTGGCTCTATGTAACTTGGCTCTATGTAACTTGGCTCTATGTAACTTGGCTCTATGTAACTTGGCTCTATGTAACTTGGCTCTATGTCACTTGGCTCTATGTAACTTGGCTCTATGTAACTTGGCTCTATGTCACTTGGCTGCATGTCACTTGGCTCTATGTCACTTGGCTCTATGTAACTTGTCCAAGGGCTCCGCACGGAAGAACCCTTCGCGATGCTTTCGGGAAAAACAAACACATCCGTTTTTCACTTGCTTGTTTCTTGCTTGTGGTGTGTGCGGGATGTAACTACTCACCGGCAACCAGGTAAACTGAAGATGCCAGGTGGAACTTTCAGAGTATTGACTCAATATGGACCAGGCAAAGCCTACATTCAGGCAGAATATTTGGGGGTGGCATGGCGTCAGGCACCAACAGCATCCAACAGCTCCATCAACATATTGCCTTGTTAAGGCAGTGGCTGAAGAACCAACTGTCATAGACTAGCTTAAAGAAATAGGGAGTTTGAAAGGCAAACATGAGCATTCCACTCCCCCAACATGCAACCTGAAGCCTCCCCCCTTGCCTCAAGAAGAGAAAAAGCGATAGGGGGTGCATGGCAGTAGGTCTCACACAACCGAGAAAACACACGGCAACTCAATTGGAAAAGAAAAGCAGTTCCTGGCGGCCTGGCTTCAATGAGTGCAACCCACACGGGTCCGACACTGGAGCCAGAAATATGCCCCTGGTAACAGGATCCTGGGAAAAAACACGGTGAGCCCTCTCCCACCAATGTAGCTGTGCTTGAGGCAAGCTAAAACATACGCATGAAGAATGAAGAACATGTCTTAATCTGAACCAACAAATAAATGATCAAATAAACAAATAAACACATTAGAAACAAACAAATCAGCACAGACATAGTCTACTGAGGCATAGACCCACCATAGATCTCCTGGAAGTCAGGTACGCAATGGGGGGTGGGGTTTCCAAAACTGAGCTCGGTTGTCCTACTGTTCTCCTTTCCAACCACGAAACAAGGGGGACCCTCAAGAAAGATGAGTCCATATCTTTCAATCACCTTTCAGATTCATCATGCCGCTCTGTGGGCATTCTCTACCAAAGAACCTCAGCCGCCAGGCGCCCTTGGGATGTCTACAAGCACTGGATCCTAGGCAAGCTGGCGAAACAAACCCCAGCATTGCGGCAAAGGACTTCCATCCCGTGGCTTTGTCGCCTGGGAGGATTCCTTTGGTACTGTGGGTTCACGAAAAATCCTTTCGCGCCACTTTGAAACCGAAGCTGAAACCGTCAACGTTGTGTGGGCATGTTCAAGGGAAGCAAATCTTTCCAGGGTTCTGAAGGGTGGTGCGAGATGAATTTCGCAGCCATCCACAGTTGAAGCCATAACTTTTTTGTTGGTATTTACGGAGGAACCAACTCATAGGGCTTCTGAAGGGCCGTGCGAAATGGATTTCGCAACCATCCACAGCGTCAACACCATTGTTGGCACAGGGGAAGCAAATCATTCCAGGGTTTCCTGGGTGGTGCGAAATGGACTTTGTCCCAGTTCGACTCCGACCTAAAACCCCCCATCTTCGACCTCCGACCGACATCCTCGCCTGGGCAGGGGCCACCTTCTTGCTCCAATGCCTCGAGCCTGGACGTACGCGAGGTATGGGCTCCAACAAACGGCTTTCGGATGCTGCACTGAAACCCTCATGGCTGAAATGAAACCATGGTGGGTCGAAAGGGGGCGCGACCTAACCTTGGAATGCTGATTTCGCTGTAAACTGCTACACACAATGATTGCGGCTTGAGGCCCCAGACGCCCGGCGCAGGGCCTTCGCCCATGTGCCGATCGCCGGCTCCGATAGAAGCGACGCCTGGCGAAAAGACTCCGGCGAATTAACAAGGAACCCAAAAAATCGATCCTTTTTAGAGGAAGATCCTGATTCATCTTAAATTGAGGGGGGGGGGGGGGGCAAAAAACCCCCTGCAACATGCGTGAAGGTAGACGGCACAAATCCCCAACTTCGGTTTAGTCGCCCCCTTTACTTGCCAAGCGAATTGCACATGGAGCCCAAAAAAGTGGTCCTTTAAACTTAAAGGGATATTCCTCTACAAATGAGGGGTTTTTTGGATTCCACATTCAACTGCAAAGCATCATGTTTTGTATCCTAGAAAATGGGCTGAAGCAGGACCGATGCATATGTCAAACAAAACAGACGGGAAACAAAAACGATTCAACGTACTTCCCCTTTGGTGGGGTAAATGCCGGGAATCCTTCAAAAAGGGTGCCCTTGTTACACAGTTGGCTTTAGATGGAAAAGTTAAGAATCACTGGCAACTATTTATTATTTGTGGCATGCGGTGTCTCAAAGGGGGCATCCACAATGTGTTTTTGTGTGTGTGTTGTGTGGTACCCGTTTCAAACAACCTGAAAACAGACACACCTATGTGTTTGTGTTCTGAACAATGTCAACTTGCAAACGTGCCCACGCTGCGTTCGTACCCGTGCGCCAAAGACAGCTAGACCTTCGTCGTGGGTGAGCCCGCCTTACGCCCAATCGGTGAGCTCCTTCTAACTCGTTCAGAGCCCTGGGGATCAATTTTCCGCTCCCCTGAGTGCAGCCCCACCCTGCCAATGTTCCCTTCAAATGAGTAAGGCGACGACTGAACCAAAATCGCGGAATTGCTGCCCTCTGCTTTCACCCAACTGCATTTAATTGACAACCTGACGGGGCCTGCCCCTTCCCAAAAGCCCGCGCTCGGCTCGGAGAACAAACGTGCCGCAGAGGTGCCAACCGCTCGAGGAGTCGGGCGTCGTGGCCTTGCAAATGAGTCACTTGCTCAAAATCCGGTACTCAAATGGCCCACCCAGAACCACGTAAATCATTAAGGCGGAGATCCGCAACTATTTCTGGCTGGGACCCCTTATCAACCTTCACCGATCCGCGGGTTTTGAGGAAGTGGCTCAAATGCTTTGAGCCATGGGACCAAAGTGTGACCCGTTCGTCTTGCTGGTTCTCACGGAATCAGTCGCCCAAAGGACCCAGACATCAACAGTTGCCAACAAGTCAATTTGCTTTGGACTGAGATCAGGGGTTGTTGGGAATGAGCCCTTACAGGAAACCAGGAATTTAAAGGAAACCCCAAATGAAAACCACCAATTTGGGAGGTCCCCGAATTAAGGCCACAACTATGTCTGTGTCTTCGTTTCCCTCCGGAGGATGGGGGGGGGCACCTCTTCAAGTCGAGGCTGTGCTTAGCACATAGGCGTTCCGCCACGAGGCCCAAACGCAGGCGGAAAGGCGACACGTAGAGCTCCTCACCCAAAGTCGCGGGCAGCACAAGGGGACAACTGGGAGCCACGCCTAGGTTACCTCTCCTTTTGGTGGGGGAGAAGGCCTTGCCCTAGTTCTCACATCGACCCTGGTTGACAATGATTTGGGGGGGTTTATGTTCTTTTTGGGTCGATCCCACTTTTACAACTGAACAACTAGGGTAGGAACTCTTGCAAGGAAACCTTTGGGGCTGGTCATCACGGAGGCTCGGGCGCTGAACCTCCATCGACACTGCAACCTCTAAGGGGCTAATTGTGACGTATTTAATACACCTCTGGAGGGACTCCTCTACTGATCCATCAGGTTGACTAATCTGCGGTTGTAGTACTTGGAAACCATACTCCTTGCTTGGATTGTATGGCTTATGCATTGCAAATACAATCTATGGTTAGGGCATTAGGAAAGATGACGACAGTCCTTAAGCCTTGTTCCAGTCTTGTTTATGGCAGCGGTTCTCAATTCGCGGCAGCCTTCAGACTCCGACGACCTTGAAAGGCTCTTGAAACCGTATCTTAAATGTCCTGTATCCATGCCAACAAAAATCACTCTCTGGATCTCCCGCAGCGCTAGGCCCTTCCCGGTCGGTTGCCGGCTTGGCGCTGGCTCAAGCTGAAGGTTTCTCCGTGCGAGTGCTGAGATTGGAACTGTTTGCCACTGAAACGGTCTCCCCAACAACTGGCCTCGACTTTGCTGCCCCCCAGAAACCGTCAAAACCATGACCCCAGAACAAGGGGCGTCCACCCAAACCTCACACACCCAGGTCCTCGGCAGCGCGGGGCAACTTGGCCTGCAGCGGTCACTGTATTTCCCAAAATCGAAAGTTGCCCTCCCACCCACCAGCAACTAACCCACCAGGTCATCCAAGAGGAGCAGTCAGGTTATCAGGTTCCAGGTGGGTTGCTTTGGCAGGGTTTGATTTGGCATTGGTTGTCCACCCATCATCCATTGAAGGGGTTCTCCTTAGAATCGCTTGGGGGGCAGGCCCATATGAACCTGTCATATGAGCCCACGTGACGTGCAGTGGGCATGCCTACCTGAAAGAGGGAGGCCAGGTCCATCTTAGGTGGGGACGCTGCCCTGTAGCAGGTGCCATGTTGGTGGATGGATGGTAGACTGGAAGAGATGATTCATCCAATATATCAATGAACTGTGCCAGCTACTCACTGAGGTGTGTTGAAGCTTCGCGCACCATGGAAACACCACCTTGCAGGGTCTACATGCCAAAGGGCCCAACCCCAGTTGCCACTATAGTGGGTAACCGGCAACGCTGAATTTCCCAAACACAAGAAATCCCAGAACGGCATTTTGTTGTTGCTACCATTCGTTTGAAACATGCCCATCTTCGAGCGAGTGACTCGGTTCTGATCCGTTCCCTCATCTCCATTTGCTTGGCACCCCTGGGAAAAAACACATTTCCAGCAGCAATGGATCCCCTTTCAAACCAACCAGGGACAATAACACATACCTGGACCCTCCGAAAGTTCTGACATGTCCATACATGTCCGGCAAAAAATGCATGAAAAACACTGGTTTAGGACATTCGAAAAGAAAAAATCCCCTTGGTTGGCCCGGGCATTCTGAGATGCAAATGGAAGCCGCATCCCGAGGCCGGCGCCAGATCTGCAAAGGTGCTGAAGGCCTCCTGGTAGCGGCCCAGCCTCGGCGTGCGGCTTGCGGATGCGCTGAATAACCCCCCCCCCAAAAAAAAAAACAAAAAACACTTCATACAGACTGGCAAGGGCGAGGGAAAACCAGGGCAATCTAGAGAGGTATAAAAGGAAGCGCCTGTGTTCCAGTCTTTCCAAAAGCCCTCTGGCACTTGCTAGATTTGTCAACCTTTCAAAGCCCAGCGAACCCAGTCAAGTATGAGCCCTTGGACAAAAACGGAACCAGCCGTACCCAAGTCGAGTTTTGGCGCCACCCCGGAACGGATGCGTCTTGGGACCTCCCCCCCTAGAATCCTTACAGGGCGCAAGAATACCAAACAAGACGGGGAATCCACAAAACACGCAAAGCCTTCTTCCAGACTGCCAGTACCTCTTGCAACCCCTTATGCCAAAAATCGTATGATGCTGGATGAGTCATTCGCTTGTATGTCCTTTGTTGCTACCTTCCCCATCTTCAAAAAAGGCATCACCGCCAGGTCACCCGCTCTGGCCCGCATTCCACCCAAGCCAACCCGGCCTCAGCAGGGTCTCGGCCTGCCGACCGGCATTCCAACCAAAGGCAGCCATCGGCACTTGAACCAACCCCCGCACGCTTGCCATCAAGTTGCCCCCCCTTTTTCTGAGAGTGGGTGTTTCTTTTTGAGGGTGCCCTTTTTGTTGTTTGAAGGGGAACTCGAAAGGAAAACTGTTTTTTTGCGGGGGAAGGCCCCTAAAGAAGGACGCACTCGAGTAGGTTCGGACAGACAGGCGCAAAGGCAATGAAACCTGTGGGAAAAAGTAGGCTCAAGGGAAAAACTGAGTACCTACCCCAAAGGGCTCAGAATCAAACCCAGGCAGCAGAGTTATCTGCTCACATCTGCTCACAAGCGAACGCGGAAAGATCAAATTGACCGTTGCCCCGCAAATCCGCGCTCTCAAGGTGCCACCAAGACAAGATATGGCCCCTCCCGCTCTGAAACTTGCACGTGGCCGTTCTTCTCTACACCTGCTACTAGGAATGGGCAAGACCTACGCTTCTAACGAACGCAGCGGGCTGGTTTTCCTCCTCGTGAAAAAAGCGCTCGGCTGCACGCGTCGCATCCTAGATCACTGCGCGGCCCATCTCCTCCAGATCCTTGGCCAGACGGTACCGCGGAACCGGCGGACGCAATGGGTCAAAGTGATCAACCCTCTTTTTGGGACGCTTAAGCAGTAAACATGATAATTTTCGTGGGTCCACTGGCCAATACTGACCCATAATTCATGAGCGCATCACCGGACAAGGCTGTGAAGCGTCAAACTACACTTGTGGTTCTACGCGCTTCAGAATTTGAGCGTCCCTTTTTCGTGGCTTTAAAGGAGAACAGAAAAGGTAAACCACCTGGGGCCCCAAAAAGCCATGCCCACTTTTGTGCTTCCTTCCCTGTCAAACTCGCTACAGGCAAACGACAAAGTCATGCCTAAGTCACTCCTTTATCTGTGTGGCCATGTGTTCCCCCATGTAAACGCCGATTCCAAGAAGTCACTCCTAAGTCACGCCTCGGCAACAATCCCCATGGAACGCTTGACATCACCGAGTTGGTCATGCTACAAAAAGACAGGTGTCAACACTGAAACACAACGAAACGCTACTGATGGCAAAGCATGTTTTCCAGCCCCGCGAGGCGTCTGCAGGAACATGAAAACCAATGGAACGCCAAGCATACGATAGGTTGTTGCAGGAGAGTTTCGTAAGACGTGACACAATGGATGGGCTTTGCAGGCTCTTGGAAGGCAGCCAGGCACATATGCAATGCACCCTGGCAAAAAAACGAGATCAAAACGAGATCAAAACGAGATCAAACCGAGATCAAAACGAGATCAAAACGAGATCACCGATCGTCCGTTGAAGATTTTGGGATATTTTGGGCCCACGTGTGCCGAACCCGCGCCCACAAGTTCACTCACTTCTGCACCCGCTCCCATCAACCCACTTCCGCACCCACTTTTCGACTCAATTTCGCACCTGCGAACGCCAGCCGCTCAGCCCTGCGCACACACGCCAGCCAAATGGTAAGCACCCCCGCTCAAGCACACCGGCTCAGCGCTGCACAGGCGCCAGCCAAATAATAAGCACCCCCTCAAGCACACCCGCTCAGCCCTGCAAACACGCCAGGTTAGTCCAGGTGAGAGGAAAAGCAAGGTGCCGACTCGAACCAGCTGTAGCAAAAGAGACGTCAAGTCTCAAGATTGCGAAACACACTGTAAACGCTCCTAGGCGGATAAGATAGAACATGCCTAAACCATCCTAAACCCCACGGAATAACAATTTTCAACTGCAATGCCTCCCAAAAGCCTATCCCTTCAAACATGCAGAGTTCCTATGCGTTTTGGAAAGGGGCACGACTTCTTCGAAGCCCTCTCCCCCATGGAATTTAAGCAATGCCTCAAACGGAGGCACGACTTTGTCAAATCCCTGTACCACCCCTGAGCCCTTTCCTTCGATCCGTTTTGCCCTTGCCCTTCGTCGAGCTCAGCTGCAGCCAGACCTGAGCTCCTCAAGGCCTTCAGGGGTAAAGGCATTCATGTCCTCACACCTTTGCACAAACGACTCCCATGGTCTTTGCATTTGCCCTCCAGTGTCTTCAAGGCCACGCGAGCGATCCCACTGCAGCCGAAGGGTTCTGGCTTCTGCTTCCCCGCCCCTGGCTTCCTGAGAGAGCTGAGGACCATGGCGGAGCATCAAATCGTAACATTGAAGCCCTTCTCTCCCACGGTTGGCGAATGCGCCGAACAAGCTGTCCCATACGGTGCTGCTCGTCAACTCACGGCAAATCACCGTCGACCGTCGGCTCCGCCGCGAGAGTCACACGGCACTTGGCCACCACCTCTTTTACGCCACTGTCTCTGACGTCAAACCTGCCGCTGCACAAAGCAAGGATCGAATTGGCAGCCTCTTGTCTCGACACGTTCGTGTGAGGTTGCACCCACTTTGCATAGTTCTCGGCTTGGAGGATAAAGGAAATCTTCGGCCAATAGTGCTCAAACGACCTGATGCACCGCACCTCGGCAAACAAGTCGAGCACGCCATGATACCCAACGCGCTCACCTGCAGGCCACACACTCAATGCGCGGACACAGATGTCAATGCTCCCATATTTCATGCACTTCTCTCCAAAGCGGAGCCTGTGCCCTTTGTCCTGCAAGTTGGTTGTCTCCCCTGCATGGATGATGCAAAAGTCATTCCAGTATTGACGCGAAGGCTCACACCAGGGCCCATAAACCACCCTTCCAAGCCACTTAATATCTGGCTGCGCCGTCGCAACCCCAGCCAGCTGCCTCCAGGTCTGTGCTGCTACTCCAGCCTGCCCGGGACTAAGCCCCTTTAGCGGGGAGTCTTGGACTGCAAGGCGTGCTTCATCCTCGTCGCCGTGAAACTCAGGCAAGAAGAAACGTGGAACCCTGATGCCATGGCCGCAGCCGTTGGTGCCGCGAACGCCAAGATCATGTGTGGCATGCTCCTCCTCATCAAAATCTGAAAAGTCGGTTGTAAACTCGCTCTCCTCTTCAAGATGCTCGTCTACGTCTCCTGCCAGTTCTCTGATTCAAGGAATGTCCTCAGCAATGTCTTCGTAAAATACCTGCGCGGCCTGCCAAGCCATGTTGCTTCCGTGTTCAGGGTTGGCTTGGACAAACCGGAGCGCAAAGTCTGCGCCAGCCAAGCGCGAGAACACAGGGAATTTGCCGGGAACTTGAACAGAACACTCCAACATCCCGGATGTTTGCCGTCCACCTGCGGAGAAGTGGCTGAAAAAGCACTTTGCCCGAGTCCGCACTCGTTCTTCCGGCAGTGCATGAGCAAGAAAGAAACCTGGCAAAGGTCAGTCCGGCATACCCACATACAAGAAGCCAGAGATGCACGGCGCCCTTCGCCACTGCCGCTCCGATGAAACGTCGTCTTCATTCATGAAGATAGCGTCCACAGCGGACATGCCCATGAGGACACGCTTGTCTGCATGGTTGTCACGCCCATTCATCCAAAACATTTCAAAATAATCCCCAAGGTTGCCAATTTGCGTCAGCAAATTAAACACCGACAAACTGCACATCGACGGGCACCACGAATCCTCCTTCAGCGCCACCAATACTGCATCCAGGCAACTGTCCAAGTGAAGCGGTTCTTTGTATTGATGACTCTTCGACAGCTTTGCAAACATCAGATCTACACTGTCGCTCCGGGCAATCTGCTCAGAGTCAATGACATCAAGGAGCTCAGCATCATCCATCTCTTCAACCCTTTCTGCAATGAACCAACCAGGATCAGGAACAAGGCGCAAATGTATGTGCTGCAGAGATTTACAGCAGGGAAAGAGGTCATGCAGTAGGCTGACCCTTGAAGCAAGGCCATGAGAAACAGTGACCTCCAGAACCGTCACGTGGATGTCTTGTGATACATCCAGTTCCACAAATGGAGCTGTCAGGTCGACATGGAGCAGTCGTTTCGATAGCAGTTGCTCCACCCTGCAGTGCCTCTGAACCTCCTTTGATGTGCTCTGCAGCCGAGCCAGGCTGGCAACATCAAGGTAAATGAAGTCTAGGATATAGTGGTTCAGGTGCACCAGGAGGCCACTAAAGCTGGCCATCACCGATTCTCTCCCTTTTCGGCAAAAGCTACATGTACTGAATGCAAGGAAATCTGGTTGCCAGAATGATGATTCCATGTTTCTCTGAAGATATGTCAAAGTGGGTGGTGCTGTTTTTGATCTTCTCTCTGATTGGATCACCCACGCTTGACTTGTGCCTCGATGCCCTCTTGAGTGGAGACAGAGAGCCACAATCTGAAGGGAACAGGTGCGACAGGAGCTAGGTCTTTAGCGTTTTTCAAGCGAGTAGCGTCACCAACCACACAAATCTTTCCACTGGAACAACCTCCAAGCCTAGACAGGACGGGTTTCGACAAAACTCCCACCCCATGCTGGCAAACCGTGTCAACCGTGGACTGCTAAGCCCGTCAAGTGGAGCGATGAAGCTCCGATTCCCTGAGCAACAATCCGGTTTAACTTTGACTTGAGCAGTTGTTCCGAAGCCTGAACTTATGCTAATAGTCAACATGAATGAAACTACCCAGCAAAACCCAATATAATCATCAACCAATGGTTTCTTTAGAAACACTCATTTGGCTTTTAAAGCCAAATAAGCCCTCCGAAACATTGAAACATCAACATTGCCAACCGTCGGGGTTGTGATTAACTTGCCAACTGAGTTCTTGCCTTTGGCGTATCATTTATACTCGCATGGATGAACCTTGTCGGTAGACCGTCTCTTTTGTGTGCACTCTTAAATCAGTTGTTGTCATGGTTCTGAGCAGCAGGACCCAATTTCCCGCAACCATCCGAATATAAGGGGAACTCAAAGCAGAGCCCCACGAAATGCTAGACCACTTTGGCGTGCTGGAAAAGGGCCAAAGAGACCAGATCTTCCCGCCATGACAGATAAAAAGCACCATGAAGCGGGCAAACGGATTCAAATGGACAATAAGTCTGGAAGGCAAATTTCCTCCACGAAAAGGGCCAACG